CCCCCGGAACGCGATCTTTACACCCACTGGTGTGCCCCTTTTTTAGTTTGAGCCACTGCCCCTCAAAAAAACCCTCTGCATGTCACTGGTCCGTACCGATATCTAGCGGCTACTGAATTGTCCCTATCAATTCGATCAAACAGTATATAACCACTGTTGTTGAAATTTTGGCTACGAGTCATACCACTGATACACTACAAACCTGTACTCTTTCAAGGATGTGCATGAGTAATAACTAATGCTGTCAATCGATAAAATTTTTTTTACTAATTAATCGCACATTTTTTCTGAAATTAATCGCAATTCATCCCACCTAACATTAAAGTTTTTAAATATACTTTTATATTTCACAGTCAATCTTCAAATTAATCTACAAACAACATAAAGACAGTATATTTTTAATATTTGTTTAATGTCATCTTTTTTATGACTGAAGGCCAGTATCACTGATACCAAGTAATACTGATTTCCCTATAAAATGTTTCCATCTAATATTTAACTAATATTCCCCTCAGCAGAAATATACAGAAATTTAATTTGAACATTGAAATAAAGTTATCAAACACTAAGTTCTAAATGAAATACAGATGAATCCTTAAAACTATAAAAGTTATGGATTACAAAAGTTACTTTTGTTCTTGATGAACAGACATCACAGGTGCTGGTTATTAGGTTGTTTTGGCTTCTATTTCTTTAAGAGCTGCCGCTGCTGAACATGACGCGGCTCTGAAATGCATTGTATTTTCTCTCAGCTCTACCTTTTCTGACCCATTTCAGGTCGGACCCATTTCAGTCTTATCTAATGAGCTGACGAGTTGAATTGAGTGTGTTAGATGAGGGAGACAGTGCTTGGATGCTCCAGGACAGTTTTGAAAACCATTTCAGAGACATGTTCTTAATGTAACCCATATATAATATATTACATGCATGCAGTTTTATGGCAGCTTTAATCGCCTTTTTGGTAACTTCATGACTTAACTGACCAAGACATTGCATGCTCGTAGTTTCTTTCGCGATTTGATATGAAATGATACAGGCTATGTGTGTGCCGGCGGCTTTGTGTGTGTGTAATTGAAGAGCACGCTGTAACAAAGTTCGTAGTTCGGGAAAGGAGGAGGCGGGAACCGGCGAACATTTAAACACAATTTAATAACAAAATAAACACAAAACTGAAAATAGCACGACTGCTGCGCACAAACCGAAACAAAACAACATAAAATCCAGGCCTGGGGGCTGTTTCATAAAACAAGTTTACCAAATAAGCCAGGCTCATTTCAGTTAGTCTGACTTATTTTCACTTGATTTGGTTTCATAAAGCAAAATTACCATAGCTCAAATTCAGTCACTCTGGCAACTTATGCTGGGAAGCTAATCCGGTCCGGGGCAGGCTAACTGTCAGGTTAAGCTGAGTTCCTCTAACTCTGACCAATAGGAACACATCGATATTTCCACTGACTCTCTCACATACAATTATTTGACGTTATCAGTCCAAAAATAAAAGTATACAGAAAATGCAACTTAAATCAAATAAATAAAACTATAGGCTACAACCGACTGTATTTAATGTATTGTGCCCAAGATTTAATGACTTTGTTTTAAGATATTTGAAAACATTTTAACATGCGCATTCAGTTGATCAGCAGTTTCTAGCCATGCAGCCTTTCTCTCTGGTTTATGACAGCTGTACTTTATGGTTATTAGTAGAACATTAAAACATTACAATATCAAATTGCTCTTTAAAGCATTAAAAACACTAAATTAAAAGTTAAAAATCATTCAATTAAAATTTTTAATAAATAATATAAAATATTTCAATATTTTAAATGATAAGAGGAATACACTAACTCATTTGAGCTAGTAATCAGGGCTGTATTAGCTAGCTTACTTTTGATTTACAGTTACTGCTATCATAAAAATACACTTATGTAGGACTAAAATTCTACGTGTCACATTTAATGTCCAACAACAAATATTTTAGCAGAATGCATATTTTAGCGAGCATGTGCGCAGCAGCGCTCGTTCACTCGCGTAAGCCTCGCCCACTCCTGACAGGAAAATTGATATGTTTGCATGACTTTCTAACATTTACAGATGAAAAATATACCTGTGAAGTGTCAGTTATGCACTGAGGAAAACGCAATGTCTCAAATGTATTAAACGGCACAGATATTCGCTGTTTGACATGGTGGATCGATTTGATCCATGATCGACATTAAGGGCTGCTTAAGAATAAGTGTGCACATCAAATTATCCTGATTCATTGAACCTGGATCGAATTAGTGAGATTGCGTGAACTTAAATTGTCGTTTATGAAACCGCCTTAGTCCCGATTGATTTTTTAGGTTATTTCAAGTCAGGTTTTGGACTTTAATCCCCGCTTTTCTTAGCGTCTTTTATTAAACAGCCCCCTGGTCCTCTCTCATCCTTCATTCCTCCTCTTGTCGCTCATTATCATTTACTCCACCAGCCTCGCTCCGTTCCCACGGCTCTCGGCCCCGCCCCACTCATCACACACGCGCTGCGAGGACACTAAAGGTACTTGGCACTGAAGTGAAGCTGGAGTGCGCGTCTGAAATGTCTCCTGTTTGATGTGCTCGTAAAGACGTTCTGCGACTGAATAAATGCACTTCTTTTCAAGGAAAAAGTGACAGAATTAGCAGTTATGAGTGGGGTGGCCAACCCTAGGCCCCACTCCTGCGTTAACGGCGTTAAATAATTTTAACGCATTAAACTGAAAAAATTAATCGCCTGTGTTAACGCGCTAATTTTGACAGCATAGGTAATAACATAAAGTCAGTGTTTAAAACATACATGCAGGGTTTGTTGAATGATATGGTTTAATCTCTTTAATGTTATTAAACTGAATGTACAAAGCAAACTGTTTTTATGTCCCCAACACTGATTTAAATAAATTAATGGATTGCTGAAATATAAACTGCCGTCAGGCAGTGAAGCCACCGCAAGCATTCAAGCAGCCATATTACTATTCCCCACCAACAAAGGACATCATCATCATCGTCAGAGGACAGCCAAAACCTTGACCTAAAAACTCCCGATTTACAGTTGTACAGGATTCGTTTTTAGGATGTACATACATATATTAATAGTTTAGCTTAATACTTCAGATATTATCTGTAATGTTTATGGTCTTTTCAGAGAGGATAAGTGATATATAAAAATTGTCTGCTGCACACTGACAACACAGCTAACTGAACAAAAAAATATATTTCTTTATGTATTCTGGTTACTCCACTGCACACCTTGGATCACTTCCTCTTCACTCTTAACCTCAACATGGTTCCTGACACAACACATACCCCTACACGTGTCATCTTTCGACATAACCTACGCTCACTCTCACCCTCCCGGCTATCTGCTATGGTTTCATCTTCGCTTCCTTCCCCTAAACAGTTATCATCTTTTGATGCTAACAGTGCTACTGATACTTTCTGCTCCACTCTTACGTCTTGTTTAGACAGTGTCTGCCCCTTGTCTTCCAGGCCAGCCCGTAACACCCCTTCTGCCCCTTGGCTATCTGATGTTCTCTGTGAGTATCATTCTAAGCTCAGGGCTGCTGAAAGGTTATGGCGCAAATCAAAAAATCCTACTGATCTTAACGTGTATCAGTCACTCCTCTCTTCCTTCTCTGCTAATGCCTCCACTGCTAAAAGGACATACTATCATAACAAAATGAACAATTCGCCTAACTCTCTCATGCTCTTTAAAACATTTTCCGCCTTCCTTAGTCCTCCTCCTCCCCCTCCTTCATCAACTCTAACAGCTGACGACTTTGCCACATTCTTCATTAATACAATTAAAACCATCAGTGCACAATTTTCCACACCACAAACTGTCTAGCACATCTTACCAGCAAACACACTTGTTCCATTACTTATCTTGCTGGATCTGTCTGCTGGATCACTGGATCACTCCAGTGGTTTGAGTCTTACCTTTCAGATAGGTCCTTCAAGGTATCTTGGAGAGGTGAGGTGTCCAAGTCGCAACATCTAGATCTTTATTTGACCCTCCAACTCTAGCACTCTCTATTCTAATTCTGTTCTTTAAAAAAAACAGAAAAACGTTTCCCTATTAAAACATGCATTCAGAACAAAAGCAAAAAAGCCTCTAACACTAGCTTGCTCTATTCTTCTTCTATTCTATCTGTTTTCTTTTTATTTATTATATAATTTAAAAAAACCTTGCTACGTGTACTGCGTTAAGTTAACTGAGACTTGTTATAGCACTTGCATATTGCTTTTTTGTTGATTTTGATTGCTTCCATTGTCCTCATTTGTAAGTCGCTTTGGATAAAAGCGTCTGCTAAATGACTAAAGGTAAATGTAATGTATGTAATTATGCAGGCAATATTAAATAAACATATTTTGGGATTATTAGCAGAAATGGATTCAAATATACTTTGTTTATACTAGACCTGCACAATTAATCGTTAAAAGATCTTATTCCTAAATGACAACGATTCAGCTATGTCTATTGGAGCGTGAGCAGTATGTGTTTTGTCGCTGCCCATGTTAATGAATGAGAGGGTCGGCCATCACGCTTCTGCTGTGACCACTGTCATTCACTGATATGGGCAGTGACAAAACTCGCACTGCTCACGTTCCACTGATACTTGTGGTGTGAAACATGCGTTAAACTAAAAACTTTAAGGACTTTAGTTAAACCTTTGAAATACTGCAGCATTCAAATCGGTTTTCATGCTATTGCTGATTCAGAGAGAACAGCTGCCATATAGACGTACAGTATGAAACACAACAGTCTTTTCAACTATACGTTATCGTTATTTCCGTGTTACAGGGATTAACAGAAGTTCTGGGATACATACATCTCGACACTGGTATGTGTAGCGCTTATCCTCTTACGCCAGGAGGTGGCGACAACTGACTGTTTAAAAAAAAAAGCATTTGTCACTGAATGGTTCATTCTAGAGATTAATTCACAAATGCTGATAGTGAAACTAGTCTTTATGAATGAGACACTGACTCCTTCATTCAAATTATTTTATTTCATTCAAATTAATATATATTTTAAACAGACTTAAGCAATGAACATTTTGTCAGAACCTCTAGTACGTTATTTCATTTAGTTGTGTAATGTTTTGTTTTTCTTCAGAATCTTGTGAGAATCGCAATCTCCATTTTAACAAAAACAAAATTATGATTCTCTATTTTTCTAGAATCGTGCAGTTCTAGTTTATACCATACATCACCTTGCTTGGAGTGAGAGGAAATGCTTGGAAATAAAGCATGTCTTCAAGTCCATACGCAGTCAGCATTATTTCTCTCACTCTGCCTACAATGTGTGTATTTTATTTCCTATATGAGCAGCAGCTACTTTACTATTCAAGACAATACAAATTATATGGCATTTTACTTTCCATGGGAATGTGTGTATGTTGTTTAATTAATTATTAATTTAACCAACATTTAAATTTTCTTAACTGTTTCAAAACACATGCTGTTAACAAAATCATCAAAATCAATCTCTTACAGTACTGTTACTGTACAAATAAAAACAGTATGAATGTGAATAACTGTAGGTGCACTAAGTTGTATGTGCATACCTCACCCTAGTAAAAATTTAATATATTTAAAATACATTTAATACTAAGTATAGTTCATATGTATTAACATTATTTACTGACATATCACTGATACTGATATAAAATGTATCATTTAACATTATTTGGAGGACTACTTGAGCACATTTCCCAATATTAATCCTAAAATGTGTTTTAATGTCATTATTGATGAGCATTGTATGATCTTTGAATAATATCGGTCTTCAAATGCAATCTATAAAATATAATCAGATATACTTCAACATATCTTTAGTTGGACTTCAGCACTACTTCCGCACAATTAAAGTGCCTTAAGTACAAAATTAGTTCTTCCAATTTAGCAGACTTTAAGTTTACCAGTTTAGTATATTAAAAGTACATTTGTAGGGTATTTTTATTAAGCACAAAATATGAAAATGTATTTATAGTATACTTAGCATGGAATAAATGTATTTCAAATACATTTAGTTTATTTTTCACTAGGGTACAAATCATAAATTGATATTCTGACAATACATATCCTGTTGTGTTGTTATTTGTCTGCCGATCTGACATTCGCTACTGTAATGATTATATATTTTTTAATAAGCGGGGAAACTTCCAACTTTAAACAAATAAGCACTTGCATGCTTGGATATTTAGCATTGTAAGAATCTGTAAGGAGAACTCGGACATAAGAATGATGACTCATAAGGTAATGTTTTCTTATTAAAATCAGACAATTTCCTATTAATTCAATAGAATGTGTGAGAACTAGGGAATAGCAATATGATGGATCGGTGGCTTCACTTGTTATAATTATAATCTTGAGCAATCCAGTTCTCTATTATAGATCAGTGGTACCCTCTAATTCCAAAATAAAACCTACACCCTTGACTTCTTCTGTCTCCAGGTTGTTGAGTCCTGCTGCAGATGAAGGCTGTCAGTTTGTGACTGGAATTGTGGGTAAAAACCCGTTACTCCTGAGTGAGCTGAATCTGAGTGAACGTGAACTAGGAGACACACGAGTGAATCAGCTCGCTGCTCTACTGCAGGATAAACACTGTACACTCAACACACTCCAGTGAGTATTGTTTTCATTTATTATTGTAGATTTATAGGTGATCAAAAAGCAACAATTCTAAGTGATCACTGAATGTTGGCATCAAATTCTTCCTCATGTTCATCATTTTAGGCTGCGTGATTGTGATCTAACACAGAAAAGCTGTTCAGCTCTAGCTGCAGTCCTGAGATCAAACACCAGTCTGAAAGAGCTTGACATGAGCAACAATAACCTGCAGGATTCAGGAGTGAAGAAACTCCAGAGCGGATTAGAAAATACAAACTGCACACTGAAGAAACTCAGGTGAGTTCAATGAACCATCGTTTGATTTAATGATAACATTCTCTTTTATTCACAACTCTGGTATGGTTACTTGGACTTTTTTTCTTGGAACATAATACTCCTTACTGCTAAAAGATTGTGTGTATCTTTAGTCAAAAGCATTTACATTCACATTTATGTTGTGACTGTCTCAACTCTACCTGTGTCTGCAAAGTTGGGAAATTACATTCATATTTACATAGTAACTGTGCCTCAGATGCAGTCAACTGATGTCTGTAACTGTGTCTGTAAAGGTGTGACCCAAATGGTCCATACAGGACATGAGCCATACAGATGATGGGTGTGGGCCATAGGTGTTCTTTCTGGAACAGGATGTTTTTCACAACATGTTGCAGCAAAAACTCTGTACATAATCCAGTACTCAAAAGTCTTGTAAAATAATGTTTAGTATGCTTTTTATGACCTTATCTTACTATTGTCAGAAATATTAATTTTTACTCTCAAAGTTTAAACTTGATTTTTTCAAATACAGGGTACATACATGGCTCTCACATATTATTGTAGCACAATTTGTGCTGAATGTAGTGTAATGAGATTAATATGGCAAAAGTAATTGAAATTAGCACAAATGTTAGGGCATCTACAGCATCCCAAAATATACTCTATTAAATTAAAGAAAGGGAAAAGTGTGTATTTATCAGATGATGAATTATGTATTTTTCCAATAATCATAAGACAAAATATATAAGTGTCATTTTTATACAATTAATATTGCTGCAAAAAAAATATTTTATAAGAAAAGATCAACTTTATTTAATTTAAAATCTCTTTTCTGTAGGCTTTCAGACTGCAGTGTTACAGAAGAGGGTTATAAATCTCTGGCTTCAGCTCTGAGATCAAACCCTTCACACCTGATAGAGCTGGATCTCACAGGAAATGATCCTGGACCATCAGGAGTAAAGAAGCTCAGTGATTTACTACAGGATCCAAACTCTCAACTCAAGACACTGAGGTGAGACGTGATTAAATAATGCTAAATGAATGATATGCAGGAAAATTATTTATAGAAGTTTTATTTTGCTAATACATTTTGTTGCATCAAAACAAATTCAACCATTTTACATCTTTATCTAATTTTAGTTGAGAACTGAATTGAATCCTGCTTCATGTTCTCTTCTGTAGGTTTTTGAGTCCTGCTGCAAATGAGGACTGTAAATATCTAAATAAGGTTCTGGGTGAAAACCTGTTACTCCTGAGAGAGCTGAATCTAAGTGAACTAGGACACTCAGGACTGAAGAAACTTGCCGCTGTATTGCAGGATAAGCACTGTAAACTCAACACACTGATGTAGGTTTTTATCATAGTTATGTTGACACTTTTTAATATTTGGGAATTTGCTTCGGGGTGTGTTTCATGTATCTTTTACTAGAAAGTGTTTCCAATACTGTATCTTACTTAAAGGGGTCATATGATGCTGCTAAAAAGAACATTATTTTGTGTATTTGGTGTAATGAAATGTGTTTATGTGGTTTAAAGTTAAAAAAACACATTTGTAAAGCTAGATACCAACGGGTGATCCGTGTGTTGGTATCCTTCATACGGTGGAGCCACTGGAGGGGCGCGTGGTCTGAACAGAGAGTGAATTCCTGTCCCAGGAGGTAATAACGGAGGATGAGGATAGCCCACCGAATGGCCAAACACTCTTTTTCAATGGTGCTGTATCTGGTCTCTCTTTTTGAGAGCTTCCGACTCAGATACAGCACCGGCCGCTTCTCTCCTCCGACCACCTGGGACTGGACTGCACCCAGCCCCCTGTCCGACGTGACTGTCTGCAACAAAAAAGGGAGATCAAAGTTAGGAGAGTGTAAGAGCGGCCCACCGCACAGGGCAGCCTTTACCTTGGTTGGGGCCTGTTGGCACAGCTCCGTCCACTGGACCGGATCTGGTGCTTCCTTATTAGTGAGATCAGTCAGCGGGCTGGTGAGCTCTGAATAAATAGGAATAAACCTTCTATAATATCCCGCCAGCCCCAGGAACTGTCTCACCTCCTTTTTGTTCTTGGGACTTGGGCAGGCCACAATCGCAGCCGTCTTATCAATTTGGGGACGGACCTGCCCATGTCCCAAGTGGAAGCCCAGATACCGTACCTCCACACGCCCAATTGCACACTTCCGCGGGTTCGCCGTTAGTCCAGCCATCCTCAGCGTGCAGATATTCCATGCCAAATTGATGCTTTTAAAACCATACCCGTGCCTGAACCGATACTTTAAAAAAAAATAAAAAATACCCCAAATAGGATGGATGGGCCATTATTGAGCGCTATAAACACATTTAATGTCTGTTTCGTTCATTCTGGACGCCAGAGGGCGGACTCGCGCAGAAACTCCACATGTGCATCACAGAAGAAATAGCATCAGGAAATGCTAACATTGGCATTGCTATCGCAAGGCATTGCTATCGCTGTAACTGAGTAAACAGAATATATAAATGTTTTGAATGATAAAACAAAGACAATAAACACTTGACTGCGTCAATGTAGTGTTTTTCAAGCCATCTTTGGTATTTTCATCATAATTAAGTATATTTATAATCCATTGCTAATCGACATAGCCTTTTTACCATATGCTTTTTACAGTATAGAACATATTCTGTGACAAGAAGCCACATCAGATCACAAAAGGAAGCAGTTGTGGAGTAAAAACTTTAGTGTTCTCTTTTGTTGGACAACAGGTTTAGAAACGCTTCTCATTTCAAGTCATTAAAAGGGAAGTTTAGCTTTAGGCATTTTAATTTAAGAATGTTTAGCTTAGCTAGCTAACGGTATCTACCTGCTGCCATCAGAGCAAGTGTAATTGCTGCATTCACGCGCTCCTCGGATGCTCTCATTTCCCGAGTTGTGCTTTTAAGTCGGAATGTGAAAGCAACATGGACACTCGCGTTACTACAAAGATGTGATGGATTTGTATTATTAGAGCTTTCTGACTTGTGTTTGTGAATTTTCTCAGTCGGGAAATAATTTTTCACGTGCGGTGCCAGTGATCCTTACATCCATTTTGGAGAACCAGAGAACAAAATTTCAATCGATCGCTCAAGCATTTAAGTGGCACCGAAATCTGCATTCTGATTCGGTTCTAGTACATTCCGGTTACATAGGTACCGGTGCCAATGGGTTTCGGTACTCAACCCTAGCGCTATGTGGCTGGAGGATCTTGTCCATGAGACGCTGAAAGGTGGCAGGAGCCCCGAACAACTCGAATGGAAGAGTAATAAATTGGTGTAATCCAAACGGCGTTGTAAAGGCTGTTTTTTCCTTGCATAATGGCGACGAGGGGATCTGCCAATACCCTTTCATTAAATCCAGTGTTGAATAAAAGCAAGCCGAATCTAACCGATCAAGCATCTTGTCAACTCGGGACATTGGATAAGCATTGAATTTCGACACTGCATTCACCTTTCTGTAATCAGCAAAGAAACAGACCGGGCCATCTGTTTTAGGCACTAAAACTATCGGGCTCACCCAGTCGCTATGCGATTCTTCTATTACTCCCAACTCTAGCATGGCCTTTAATTCATCCTGTACCACTTTTTTTTGTGTGTTACAGTAAACGATAGGGACGGCTGTGAACCACTTCCCTGGGGATCGTTTCGATGTGGTGTTGTATGAGGTACATGCGACCGGGCAGGGGTGAAAACACATTTGCAAAATCTGCTTGCAACTTGGCTAACTCAGTAAGCTGCAGCGTTGAGAGGTGATCTCACCTGGGGACCAGAGAAAAGCGTATTGGTTTTGACAGCCGCTTCTGGTCCGAGATCTTCCTCTGCCGATACGGCCGCTGCTAACTCAACCAATGTCACCTCATTCCAGCATTTTAAAAGATTGAGATGATAAATTTGACATGAATTGCCCCTGTCTGTTCGCTTTACCTCATAATCAAGATCCCTCACTCGCCGTGTAACCACAAGAGGTTGTTGCCACTTTGCGAGTAATTTAGAACTAGATGTTGGAAGTAATACAAGCACTTTCTCTCCCGGTGTAAATTGACGCTCTCGCGTATCCCTGTTGTACAGCCGACTTTGTCTTGAGCCTGGAGCAAATTCTCCATAGAAAGCCTGCCCCAAGGTGTGGAGTTTTGCTCGGCGGTCCATGACACACTGAATTTCACTACGGCTGTTTGAAGGCCCCTCCTCCCAAGCCTCCCTAATGACGTCAAGCACCCCCCGGGGCTGACGACCATAGAGAAGTTTGAATGGGGAAAACCCGGTGGAGGCTTGTGGAACCTCCCTTACCGCAAACAACAGGGGCTCAAGCCATTTATTTTATTTTTATTTTATTTATTTTTGATGTCCTCCTTTACAAACTTACGAACCATGTACTTTAACGTACGATTAAATCGTTCTGCCAAGCCGTCTGTTTGTGGGTGATAGACACTGTTGCGAATCGATTTAATGCCCAAAAGTTTGTATAGTTCGCTAAATGTACGTGACATAAACGCTGTGCCCTGATCAGTGAGAATCTCTTTAGGGATTTCCACTCGGGAGATGACTTGAAACCATGCATCTGCCACACTCTTTGCAGAGATGGTGCATAACGGCACTGCTTCTGGGTATCGTATTGCGTAGTCCACCAGAACTAATGCAAAATGATGTCCGCGTGCTGAACTTTCTAATGGCCCGATGATGTCCATACCAATTCTCTTGAAGGAGACACTACCCCATTGTGGGGTTCGAGGGGGCACGTTACTACGTGACCTGGGAGTAGGAATGGGGTGAGAGAGAGCAGGAAGGGAAGGAGAGGGGTTGGAGAGAGAGAGGTTAATAAGGGGCACGCCACCAGATGGTCTTCAGCTAGCTGGATGGCCTGCGTCAGCGATGTCGGCTGGTGGCATTGGACCAACTCGGCCATCCCACGTGGTAGCTGAGTGATGAACTGCTCCAGCACCACCAGATCGACCACTTCCTCAACATTGCTTTCCTCAGACATCAGCCACTTGCAGGCAAGCATACCGGAGCTGTTGGGCCATCACAAATGGTCGACCGTTTTCCCCAGCTCCCCTGACCGAAAGCGTTGACGATGTTGTTCGGGGGTATGGCCAACTCATTGAAGAATGGCCCGCTTGAGATCATCGATCATTAGATTAAATCACTATTGGTAGCACAATTTATTGTAATGCTTTTTTCCTCAGTTGGTCAGAACAGATGTGGCAGACGTGTTACTTGTTCAGATGACAATATACAGTGAAAATTCTTATTTGGGTCATATATTCCAAGACGTAAGCTAGAATCTATGATTGTGAAGTACAGTAAATATCCACACCGGTGTGGTGACTGACTGCCACACACACTCCTCAAAACATTAGATTAATCCGCGCTGGAGCTGTGCCAGAGTACAACCCACGCAAGGAAGATAATTCCGCAAACAGCTGAAATTCCAGGTTTTCAAACAGAGATGGTGACAAAGTGGCAAAACATACGGTCTGCAGCTTTAAATAACAGTTAACAAATGAATAACTATTGAATTTTGTCATGCCTAATGAATAATTATTATTAATTATCTACTAGTTCAGTTTCAGAGAAAATAACTATAATATAAATACTAATGAGCAGTCATACTCAATTAGCCATTACAGTAATGAGGTTGTGGCCCTTTCTTCTTTACTACTAATGTTGTTATTATTATTATTATAAAAATGCAATGTGAATAAATACATATACAACAAATTTCATAGAAGTTTTTGCCTGTATGTTCAATAATCGCTTTGTTAGCGTATTCTTTATCCAGAAATCAACTTCAGAAAAGAACCTCACCTCAACTCTTAAGTGCCTTGCCATAACTAACCAACTTAGCTCAGACAATTTTATAATTTTATTTACAGTACACTGTCTCTCTGTTGTGTTTCTTTTAATACAGTTTGAACAACAGCTATATCGCAGAAGAAGATTGTCGTGTTCTGGCTGCAGCTTTAAATTTAAACCCTTCAAATATGAAGGAGATGAATCTGAGTGGGACTAAAATCAGAGACTCAGGACTGAAGATCTTCTCTACTCTGTTTGAGAATGAACAATGTAGACTGCAAAAGCTGAAGTAAGTATTTGTGTAAAACAAATGCTGACCACTGCAAAAATGTATACATATTTTTCATGCAAATCATATATTGTTGGATTAAAGCAGTATTAGCCAAAGCTACTAGTTGCATAATTGTATGTGTAGCTTATTTTTTCTCTCTTCTACAGTTTTAATTGCATCGGCATTGCAGAGGAAGGTTGTGCTGCTCTGACTTCAGCATTTGATTCAAACCCTTCAAACCTGAAAGAGCTGGATCTGAGTGGGAATAAACTGGGAAACTCTGGAGTAACAGAAATCTGTACTCTGCTGGGAAATTCACAGTGCACACTGCAGATACTCAGGTTTGAATTTGGTTAATTTAAACATGAACAAATTTCTACCAGTAATGTCCCATTAGCATGTAAATAATAAGCACATTACTATGAATGTTGTTTCTACTTATTTAGCAATTGATTGCATTTGATTTCTTGATTTGGTTGCTGTTTTTTCTTCTTCTAGAATGTCAGACTGCAGTGTTACAGAAGAGGGTTATAAATCTCTGGCTTCAGCTCTGAGATCAAACCCTTCACACCTGATAGAGCTGGATCTCACAGGAAATGATCCTGGACCATCAGGAGTGAAGCAGCTCAGTGATTTACTACAGGATCCAAACTCTCAACTCAAGACACTGAGGTGAGACGTGATTAAATAATACCACATAAATGACATGTAGATTAATTATTCATAGAAATATTTTTTCCACTAACACAGTAAGCTTTACAATTTTTGTTTTATAAAGGTTTAAGTTTAAGATAAACAAAATCTGACTGATTGCACCAAATGTAGTTAAATTGAATCTTTCTCTTCTGCAGGTTGTTGAGTCCTGCTGCAGATGAAGGCTGTCAGTATGTGACTGGAATTGTGGGTAAAAACCCGTTACTCCTGAGAGAGCTGAATCTGAGTGAACGTGAACTAGGAGACACACGAGTGAATCAGCTCGCTGCTCTACTGCAGGATAAACACTGTAAACTCAACACACTCCAGTGAGTATTGTGCATGGTTTGATCATGGGTGTAGCTTAGTGGGTGAAAGATATTTTCAAATATATAAAAATAAATGTTCAGTTGCAAAATAAATAAAGTAATTAAAGTAATAAATTCAAATAAATAAATAAATAATCTAATACTTTCTGATCTCTCCCACAATCTTGTTTGCGTATTTAAGCTGAATCTGTTTTAGCGGTTCGTAGCCAATCATGACTGCAGTTTGGCTATGGTAAATTGACAGTTGTGTGGCATGAATAGGTATTTGACTTGCACTCACCCTGTCACAGGAATAAATATAGTTATCTTTGCAGGTTGAAAGAGAAGGTTTAGAGCTCTCAGCACACTGCATTTCATCCTTAAAATGTTTTTTGGGGCCAGATTTACTAAGCAGGGCAAATTAGCACGAGAGCGCAATTCCCAAACAGCGCAAAAGGGAGGGGGAATTTCTGCGGGGGATTTACTGACAATGCACAAATTAAGGAACACAGACATAACATCTCATTTACATATCGACCAACGCAATATACCAAGCGCAGCGCAAATAAGCAGAGCCGATGCTCATCAGGTGCGGGTAATCTACTCGCAGGCACAGCTTGTTACATGTAAAGTGACAAACACGTACTCTTTAATATAGATTTTACGTAAATGTTTTTTTTTTCTCCGCTAGACATGTGCCGGTATTCGGTAATGCAATATATCATGTTAATGAATATGCATGATATTGTTATCGTGGGCACTTGAAAATACAGAGAATACTTATTTATAACAAATTATTCCGAATTTTGAATGCATTTTAAGAATATTTTCCCATCAACTGGTCACAATGCACAACACCTCTGTATGCTGCGTTAAAGACGCGTATGCACTCTGATGTAAACAAGCACGGATGAGAAGCACATGGCGGAATGCATGAGAGACGCACATTCACTCTGTGACAGCAGATGGCGCTGAACATAATGCAGCTGTTACCCTGGAAACAAAACAGTTGTGCTTCTTTCTGTTTCTGAAATGTGTTTACGTTATTTAAATAGCCTAGTATGTCTAAATATTTAACTATTTGGCACTGTGATGAACACCAATCAAATACACATATCTGAATGGCTATTTATTTTCAAACGTTTTAATCTGGACTACAACATGCCCTAGATATTGTTTGAAAATGTTTTGATTCTTTATTGTTCTGTCAAACTTTACATTAGGGCTTCATTAGTTAACATTAGTTATACTACGGGGCTGTTGAATGCTTCACCACCTCGGGTGTGCATTATTTTTCTAATAATTCATGGCCCGTCATCAATTATTCCTTAATTACTTAGTTAAGAAGTGAGTACACCCCTCACATTTTTGTAAATATTTTACTATATCTTTTCATGTGACAACACTGAAGAAATGACACTTTGCTACAATGTAAAGTAGTGAGTGTACAGCTTGTATAACAGTGTAAATTTGCTGTCCCCTCAAAATAACTCAACACACAGCCATTAATGTCTAAACCGCTGGCCACAAAAGTGAGTACACCCCTAAGTGAAAATGTCCAAATTGGGCCCAATTCTAGAATGCCAGACTGCAGTGTTACAGAAGAGGGTTATAAATCTCTGGCTTCAGCTCTGAGATCAAACCCTTCACACCTGATAGAGCTGGATCTCACAGGAAATGATCCTGGACCATCAGGAGTGAAGCAGCTCAGTGATTTACTACAGGATCCAAACTCTCAACTCAAGACACTGAGGTGAGACGTGATTAAATAATACCACATAAATGACATGTAGATTAATTATTCATAGAAATATTTTTTCCACTAACACAGTAAGCTTTACAATTTTTGTTTTATAAAGGTTTAAGTTTAAGATAAACAAAATCTGACTGATTGCACCAAATGTAGTTAAATTGAATCTTTCTCTTCTGCAGGTTGTTGAGTCCTGCTGCAGATGAAGGCTGTCAGTATGTGACTGGAATTGTGGGTAAAAACCCGTTACTCCTGAGAGAGCTGAATCTGAGTGAACGTGAACTAGGAGACACACGAGTGAATCAGCTCGCTGCTCTACTGCAGGACAAACACTGTACACTCAACACACTCCAGTGAGTATTGTGCATGGTTTGATCATGGGTGTAGCTTAGTGGGTGAAAGATATTTTCAAATATATAAAAATAAATGTTCATGTTCAGCAGGGCAAATTAGCACGAGAGCGCAATTCCCAAACAGCGCAAAAGGGAGGGGGAATTTCTGCGGGGGATTTACTGACAATGCACAAATTAAGGAACACAGACATAACATCTCATTTACATATCGACCAACGCAATATACCAAGCGCAGCGCAAATAAGCAGAGCCGATGCTCATCAGGTGCGGGTAATCTACTCGCAGGCACAGCTTGTTACATGTAAAGTGACAAACACGTACTCTTTAATATAGATTTTACGTAAATGTTTTTTTTTTCTCCGCTAGACATGTGCCGGTATTCGGTAATGCAATATATCATGTTAATGAATATGCATGATATTGTTATCGTGGGCACTTGAAAATACAGAGAATACTTATTTATAACAAATTATTCCGAATTTTGAATGCATTTTAAGAATATTTTCCCATCAACTGGTCACAATGCACAACACCTCTGTATGCTGCGTTAAAGACGCGTATGCACTCTGATGTAAACAAGCACGGATGAGAAGCACATGGCGGAATGCATGAGAGACGCACATTCACTCTGTGACAGCAGATGGCGCTGAACATAATGCAGCTGTTACCCTGGAAACAAAACAGTTGTGCTTCTTTCTGTTTCTGAAATGTGTTTACGTTATTTAAATAGCCTAGTATGTCTAAATATTTAACTATTTGGCACTGTGATGAACACCAATCAAATACACATATCTGAATGGCTATTTATTTTCAAACGTTTTAATCTGGACTACAACATGCCCTAGATATTGTTTGAAAATGTTTTGATTCTTTATTGTTCTGTCAAACTTTACATTAGGGCTTCATTAGTTAACATTAGTTATACTACGGGGCTGTTGAATGCTTCACCACCTCGGGTGTGCATTATTTTTCTAATAATTCATGGCCCGTCATCAATTATTCCTTAATTACTTAGTTAAGAAGTGAGTACACCCCTCACATTTTTGTAAATATTTTACTATATCTTTTCATGTGACAACACTGAAGAAATGACACTTTGCTACAATGTAAAGTAGTGAGTGTACAGCTTGTATAACAGTGTAAATTTGTTGTCCCCTCAAAATAACTCAACACACAGCCATTAATGTCTAAACCGCTGGCCACAAAAGTGAGTACACCCCTAAGTGAAAATGTCCAAATTGGGCCCAAAGTGTCAATATTTTGTGTGGCCACCATTATTTTCCAGCACTGCCTTAACCCTCTTGGGCATGGAGTTCACCAGAGCTTCACAGGTTGCCACTGGATTCCTCTTCCACTCCTCCATGATGATGACATCACGGAGCTGGTGGATTTTAGAGACCTTGCGCTTTTCCACCTTCCGTTTGAAGATGCCCCACAGATGCTCAATAGGGTTTAGGTCTGGAGACATGCTTGGCCAATCCATCACCTTTACCCTCAGCTTCTTTAGCAAGGCAGTGGTCGTCTTGGAAGTGTGTTTGGGGTCATTATCAAGTTGGAATACTGCCCTGTGGCCCAGTCAGCAATAACACCAAATTTAACACACCTGCTCCCCATTCACATCTGAGACCTTGTAACACTAATGAGTCACATGACACCGGGGATAGAAAATGGCTAATTGGGCCCAATTTGGACATTTTCACTTAGGGGTGTACTCACTTTTGTGGCCAGTGGTTTAGACATTAATGGCTGTGTGTTGAGACACCGGCCAGCTTTTTCTGCCAATTTCCTGTTACCCAACACACGGAAAGAAACTGGCTCAATGCGGAAACTGTAAATCTCGCGAAGGTGTTCGGTGTTGCCAGCCCGCAGCTCTACAGATGTCTGCCATAGAGGCGCCGTGCACCAGCACATAGGAGGCGACACTCCGTGTGGAGTGAGCCCTCACCCCCAGGCGGCACGGCTTGCCTTGGGATTGGTATGCCAAGGCGATGGCATCCACTATCCAGTGGGCCAACCTCTGCTTGGAGACAGCCTTTCCTTTCTGCTGACCTATGTAGCAGACAAAGAGCTGCCTACGCTCCAACCTCTCTTGCAGGAAGGAAAGCACAACTCGAATCGTTCATTTTCGGGGGACTTTTTGCCGAGAAGAACACCATTATTTGCGAACAGACTCCACTTCAGTGCATAAGTTTGCCTCGTAGAGGGAGCTCTAGCCTGAGTGATGGTGTCCACCACTGCCCGTGGAAGATCACTTAAGTCTGCCATGTCCCATCCAGGAGCCACACATGGAAGTTCCAAAGATCTGGATGCGGGTGCCACATGGTGCCAAGCCCCTGAGAAAGTAGATCCTTCCTCAGAGGGATGCGCCAGGGAGGGGCTGTCGTGAGGAGCATAAGTTCCGGAAACCAAGTCCAGGTGGGCCAGTACGGCGCAACCAGCAGGACCTGTTCCTCATCCTCCCTGACCTTGCACAGTGTCTGTGTGAGGAGGCTCACTGGGGGAAACGCATATTTGCGTAGAGCCCGAGACCAGTGGGAGGACTCTTGGGAAGCAAACCGGTCTACCTGGGCTTCCCCGAATAGACACCAACTCAGCCGGAGTGATGGTGTCCACCACTGCCCGTGGAAGATCACTTAAGTCTGCCATGTCCCATCCAGGAGCCACACATGGAAGTTCCAAAGATCTGGATGCGGGTGCCACATGGTGCCAAGCCCCTGAGAAAGTAGATCCTTCCTCAGAGGGATGCGCCAGGGAGGGGCTGTCGTGAGGAGCATGAGTTCCGGAAACCAAGTCCAGGTGGGCCAGTACGGCAGGTGGGCCAGTTCCTCATCCTCCCTGACCTTGCACAGTGTCTGTGTGAGGAGGCTCACTGGGGGAAACGCATATTTGCGTAGAGCCCGAGACCAGTGGGAGGACTCTTGGGAAGCAAACCGGTCTACCTGGGCTTCCCCGAATCGACTCCAACTCAGCCGGATCGTCTCGGGATGGAGTCGCCATTCCCTGGGGAGCGTGAGCTATCGTGAGAGAGCATTGGCTGCACGATTGAGCTCCCCTGGGATGTGAACAGCACGCAGTGACTTGAGCCGCGTCTGACTCCGCGTCTGAGATGGCAGGCGAGTTGTGACAAGCGATGTGAATGTAGACCTCCCTGCCGGTTGATGTACGACACAGCCGCAGTGTTGTCCGTGCGGACCAACACGTGCTTGCCGTGTAGCAGCGGCCGGAACTGCCACAAGGTGAGATGCACTGCCAACAACTCCAGGCAGTTGATGTGTCAAAATAGTCGAGGCCCCGTCCAGGACACCGAGGCTGCCTGCCTGTTGTATGTAGCATCACAGCCTGTACTGGAGTCATCTGTCGTGACAACAACATGCCGGGACACTTGTTCTAAGGGCACCCCGGGCCCACAGAAAAGCAAGGTCTGACCAGGGGCTGAATGTGCACAATATGTACCGCGGCGCCATGCCCATCTCAGGACTTGGGAGTGTAACCAGTGCTGAAGTGGTCTCATATGAAGCAACCGAGTGGCGTTACTGTGGCTGCAGATGCCATTTGCCCCAGGATCTTCTGAAATTGTTTCAGCGAAACCACCATCCTGCCTCTGAAGGAACTCAGGCCGTCCAGCACTGACTGGGCACGCTTGTTGGTGAGACGCGCTGTCATAATCACAGAGTCAAACCCCAAAGAGATCTTCCAGGACACCGAGGCTGCCTGCCTGTTGTATGTAGCATCACAGCCTGTACTGGAGTCATCTGTCTTGACAACAACATGCCGGGACACTTGTTCTAAGGGCACCCCGGGCCCACAGAAAAGCAAGGTCTGACCAGGGGCTGAATGTGCACAATATGTACCGCGGCGCCATGCCCATCTCAGGACTTGGGAGTGTAACCAGTGCTGAAGTGGTCTCATATGAAGCAACCGAGTGGCGTTACTGTGGCTGCAGATGCCATTTGCCCCAGGATCTTCTGAAATTGTTTCAGCGAAACCACCATCCTGCCTCTGAAGGAACTCAGGCCGTCCAGCACTGACTGGGCACGCTTGTTGGTGAGACGCGCTGTCATAATCACAGAGTCAAACCCCAAAGAGATCTTCTGCACAGGGGAGAGTTTGCTCTTTTCCCAGTTGACCCGAAGCCCCAACTTGCTGAGGTGCCAATGCACGGTGTCCCTGTGATCGCTCAACTGCTCTTAGGCTCTTTCTTTCAGAGCATGCTTCACAACTCCTTGTTCAAGCTCTTGTTCTGTCCAGGCTGGACTATTGCAATGTTCTCTTGGCAGGTCTTCCAGCCAGTTCTATCAAACCTTTACAATTAATCCAGAATGCGGCAGCAAAATTAATTTTTATTGAGCCAAAAATAATTCACGTCACACATCTGTTTATCAATTTGCACTGGCTACCAATAGCTGCTCGCATAACATTCAAGGCATTGATGTTTGCCTACAAAACCACCACTGGCTCTGCACCCCTTTACCTAAATTACTTCAGACTTATGTGCCCTCTAGAAGCTTGAGTTTTGCAAGTGAATGTCATTTTATTGTGCCATCCCAAAGAGGCACAAAATCACTTTCACTGGCTTTTAAATTAAATGTTCCCTCCTGGTGGAATGACCTGCCCAACTCAATCCAAGCAGCTGAGTCCTTAGCCATCTTCAAGTATCGGCTAAAAACACATCTCTTCCATCTTTATTTGACCCTCTAACTCTAGCACTCTCTATTCTAAATCTATTCTTTAAAAAAACTTGTCCCTTTTAGACTTGCACTCTATTCATTTACTGCTTGTATTCTTTAAAAAAAATAACACTAGCTTTTCTAATCTTTTTGTATTCTATCTGTTCTTTTGTATTTATTATACAATTAACAAAATCAAAAAAGGCCTCTAACACTAGCATGCTCTATTATTTTTCTATTCTATCTGTTTTCTTTTTATTTACTATATAATTTTAAAAACTCTTGCTACGTGTACTGCGTTAAGCTAACTGAGACTTGTTATAGCACTTGCATATCATTGCTCTTTTGCTGATTTTGATTGATTCTATTGTCCTCATTTGAAAGTTGCTTTGGATAAAAGTGTCTGCTATATGACTAAATGTAAATGTAAATTACCGGGCCATGATGAGCCAGTCATCAAGATAGTTGAGGATCCTGATGCCTACTTCCCATAATGGGGTAAGGGCACTCTCCGCGACTTTCGTAAAGACACGGGGGGACAGGGAAAGTCCGAAGGGGAGGACCCTGTACTGCCATGCCCGACCCTCGAACGCAAACCGTAGCAACGGTCTGTGTCGAGGAAGAATCGAGACATGAAAGTAAGGTCCTTCAGGTCAACCGCTGCAAACCAATCCTGGGGCAGAATGCATCTGATGATGCACTTCTGCGTCAACATCTTGAACGGAAGCTTGTGAAGGGCCTGATTCAAGACTTGCAGATCCAGGATTGGCCCGAAGGCCACCGCCTTTCTTGGGTACGATGAAGTAAGGGCTGTAAAACCCCTGCCTCATCTCGGCTGGAGGGACCGGCTAGATTGCATCCTTTGCCAGGAGGACAGCAATCTCCTCACGCAAGACAGAACTCGGCTGCCACCAAAGTCTCGAGAATGCCGCTGAACTTGGGAGGTCGCCTGGCAAACTGAATCGCATAGCTAAATTGTCCAGCGACACGGGCTAGGTAGTGCAAGCCACGCCCCCAGAAAATTTACAAATGGCACCAAAGGAGCAACTGACGTACCCACGGTTGTGCAGTGGAGGGGAGTAGAGCTGGATGGTACAGAAGGCATCACATTCTGACTTATCCCCGCAGAATTACCTAAGTCCCCAAGGGGACTGGCCAGAGATGCGTGGAGAGTCATTGCGTCTCCCAACCACAGTCTCTTGGCTGCTGGCAAGAAGGGGCATCGCGGACGAGAGTGAGGAGGCAGTGCGTTGCACACTGTCAGTCCACGAGCTTGAGAACCCGGAAGAAAAGGAAATAGCTCGTTTTTTTGACAATGTGATGGAACAGAAACAAAACGAAGCAAAAGATTCTCCACCCGGCCCTCCTCCAGGAGAAGAAGCGGCGCTGTACTCGCTGTCTCCTGAGAAACGGACGTGTCAGGGCCACTTTGTTGCCTTCCTGGACGATTTCGGGGGCCGGCTGGTGATGACGAGCAGACTGAGGCCTGGCCCACGGGGAAGCGGTGGCTGGTGGTGCATCACGCTGGGGCAAGATGTGTTGGATGGCCTCAGTTTGCTTCTGCACTGCCAAGAACTGCTGGGCAAAGCCCTCAACAATGGGAACAGTGGATTTCGCCGAACAGCCCAGCCTGGGAGATGGGAGCAATCTTTCATCTCTGCCAGGTTGATCCAGTAATGGTGCTCTTGGATCACCAGAGTGGACATCACCTTCCCGAGGGACTGCGCCGTGACTTTCGTCATGCTCCCGCATCAACCTCGGGTCGGTGCTACCCTCGTGCATTTTTTCAGTGCCTTGGCTTGGTGTACTTGCAGGATAGCCATGGCGTGCAGGGCAGAGAGCGGCCATCAGCTTACAGGCTTTGGACGGGAGATGAGGACGATTCCTCCAAGTGGGGCTGTTTTGCGGGCACAAGTGCACCGCAACCGCTCTCTCCACCTGGGGAATGTCGACGTACCCCCTGGCCGCCTCGCCATCGAGGGTAGTGAGGATGGAGGAGGGAGACGAGCGGCTTCTGGCGGTAAAAGGGTCCGTCCACGACTTCGTCAGCTCCTCATGCACCTCAAAGCCACTGTTGTTGCGGTTGTGAGCCACGTCCCGCCCCGAGAAACCAATCATCCAGCCGTGAAAGCTCGGGACTGGGCGGTCTGTTGATCTCCAGCCCAATACTCACGGCTGCCCGGGTAAGCAATAGCCATCCTTTCCGGGTCCGATTCTGCGGCGGCCACAACACAGGGGGCAGCCCCACACAATCTTCATCCTCAGAGGACAAAAGCCCATCCCCCAATGCTGCAATCGACATCTGATCTTCTGGCGGCACACCGAATGAAATACTGGGCCCGGCGGAGAAGCACTTACTGTGATCCTCAGATCTCCCAGAGCGCTAGCCGGTGGTCCTCTGTTCGAGCCAGAGAGACCGGGACGGGTAGCAGCAGAGGTTGCCTCTCTTTTCAGAATTGCAACAATGATATGCTCATGCACCCACAAAAGACGCATGAGTCATCCACGAACGCTGTCCAGACACTGAAGACAATGATCGTGTCCGTCCTCAGAAGACGGGTAACAACCACAACCAAGAGGACACGGACGGAACGGCATCTTTAAAAAAACACGAGCCGTCCGAGATTTGCTCTTTTTGGAAATTT